ATATATATATATATATATATAATAGCACAAAATTATTAAAAATTGAAATCGTGCTTGGTTACAATACTGATCACTATAAGACCCAAATTGATAGGTATATAAGAAAAATTTTAAAGCTTGTCTTTGCTTGTCCTAGTTTTAGCATGGCAGATTGGACCTCCTAATGATCTAATGACTATGAAGGCATAGCTTAGTGCCCAACGATTTCGCTCATTTGTACGTAAAATTTTATGTAACAATTCAGCATTCTAGGGTTAAATCTAGAGTTACTTTTAGAGTTTATTCCTATACTTTGATTTGGATTATAACAGGAAATGTTTAGAATGCAAGAATTATTTAATTACATTTTATTTTTCAGTATCAACATTTCAAGTAGATTTTTATATATCCGGTATAGCACCATTGAAAAATCAGTTAATATTATTGGGTTGCCTAAAGGAGCTAGATGAAGATGGAAAGAATCAACGCCCAACTTTACATGTAGTTGAACCAAAATATCAAGATTTCTCAGTAATATGTGCAAATTCTCTTACCTTACGTGGCTATAAGGAATACAGCTGCAATGATTACCATTTGGACTGTTTAAAAGAAGAAAATAGGTAAATAAGATCAATTTCGTAAAATTGTTATATTAAAATTTGAGAGATGATACATGGTTTCATGTGAAAATGGTTAGTTGGCAGATTTTGGATTTGAATCCTTTGACTCTTCAATTTATATATTTCTTGATTTTATAAGTTGAAAAATTAAAGACTTTAAAAGTATGAGGTAACAATTTGTTTCAAAATCCTATATTTTATATTATAATAAAAGATTAAAATCAATTTAAATATGTGCTATAATAAAGATAATTAAGATAATTTTTTAAGTATGCTAAAAATTAATTTTAACAAATATTATTTTTCTAGAATATTAATATATAATACAATGATTCACACAAATTATTAATAAATTTGTCTGATATTTAAGATGTGAAAATCTGAATTCAAATATACTTTCCCATTTTTAAGAAGTTTGAAAAAAAAATTTTTTAATTTTAATTGTTTTTCCTATCTCATAGAGATAGGAAATCTTTAAGATTTCATTCTATCTATTGGATCTATCTTTCATATAGGAAAATTCTTTACAGATTTTTTATTGTTAGTCCAAAGGATATTGTAGTGGCTAGTTTATATGATACAGATGACAGAATCGAATGGCTATTGAGTCATGGAAAATTTGAGCAAGCTTTGGAAGCTGTAACAGCAAATAATGGCAAAGATTGTAAGAGGCATACTGTATTAGATGTTGGGCGTATTTATTTGGATCACTTATTAGCATGTGGAAGATACGATGAAGCTGGAAAACTTTGTCTCAAAGTTTTAGAACGAAATAAAAAATTATGGGAGGAAGAGGTGAGAGATATTATGTTACAAAATTATTGCATTTTTAATACTTTGCGAAAAACTGCTGTTTGCAGTTACATTTAAGTTTGTGTCTCAAACTTTTTTGCTTTAGTATGACATAAGCCTTCTTTCTTGTCTCGAGATAGGTTTACAAATTTGCTAGAGTGCATCAATTGCGTTCAATTTCGTCCTACTTGCCTCGGGGTGACGTTATTCTCGATCCATTAATCTATGAAATGGTGCTATATGAATATCTAAAAATGGATCCTGACGGTTTTTTACAATTAGTCAAGGAATGGTCTCCAAATTTATATACAGTGGCAGCGGTAGTTAACGGCGTATTGGAACATTTACTGGTTCACAATCAACGACAAAATGTATTATTAGAAGCGTTAGCCATTTTATATATCCACGACGGCAAATACGATAAAGCGCTTGCTATGTATTTGAAGCTGCGGCACAAGGATGTTTTCCAATTGATCCAAAAGTATCAGTTATATAATTCAGTATACGATATGATCGAAGGTTTGATGGATCTGGACACAGAACGTGCCATACAATTTTTTCTAGAGAAAGACAGAGTGCCGTCTGACACGGTTGTACAAAAATTGCAACATAATCATCGTTATTTATATTTGGTAATATTTGGAATCAATATAACACAATTTTCATAGTGAGAAATATGCAATTTTTGAATAACATTTAATATTTTGTGATTTTTTTAAATTTTATTTTTCCTTAATATATGTTATTAAAAATAGGGCCTTAATGAAAATAATTTTTGAAAATAATTATATAATTTGTACTTTTTCAGTATCTAGATGCATTAGATAAGAGAGACACGAAGGATTCAAAAGGCAAGTACCACGGTCTTCTGGTACGATTATATGCCGATTATTCGAGAGACAAGTTGTTACCGCTTTTACGTCGCTCTGATAATTATCCGATACAACAAGCTCTGGATATTTGTAGCCAACGTCGATTTTATCCAGAAATGGTGTATCTATTAGGTAGAATTGGAAACACTTCAGAAGCCTTGGCGCTTATGACAAGAGAACTCAACGACATGGAAAGTGCAATTGTATTTTGTCAGGAACATGACGATGAAGAGTTGTGGAATGATCTAATTAATTACTCACTTGACAAACCTGGTATGCATCAAATCAATGACCTTGAAGAGCATTTTGGATGCTTGAATTTAAAGTTTCAATAAAATTTAATTAAATAAAGTTTATTTCAAAATAAATTTTTATATGTTTTAGCGGCTATTACATTCCTTCTTCAAAAAATCGGCACTTATGTTGATCCTAGGCTTATGGTGCAAAGAATAGAACCTACTTTGGAAATTCCAGGCTTGAAGAAAGCATTGGTTAAAATGATGTGCGACTACAATCTGCAGGTGTCTGTGCAGGAAGGTTGTAAAAAAATACTGTCTAACGATTATTTCAATCTCCACGAGCGACTTGTTCATTGTCATCAAAACGGCATATTTGTCGATGGTATGCAATTTTATAAAATCATTGATTCTAAAAAATAAAAATAAGGTTGCTATAAAACTGGAAATCGGGGAAATGTCAGGGAAATAGAAAACGATTAGGGAAATTAGGGAAGTCAGGAAATTTGTAAAAATTTCTGAAAAATTAAAATTTGTGCTTTTAAAGAAGATTTTCAATATACGTACACTACATGTATGCAGTTTTGATTAACACGCACATAAAAGCTATGACATACAAAAAAAAACTCAAAAAAATTCTAAGTCGTCTATTTTACCGATCCGGACACTTATCATGGAACAAGTCGGAATGGATTCCGATCAGAATTTTATTTCGTTTTCTCTAGAAAACAATAAAAATCTAGAGAATAATTGAATAATTCTGATAAGAATTCATTCCGACTTGTTCCATGATAGGTACCCAATAGGATTTATACTTACCATTTATATGTTATTTATATATTACTACTACATCAATATGTATGCATGCACACGCATACGCACACACACACACACACACGCACCTCTGCGTGTGCAAATTTTCTAATTAACGACTTTTTGATATTAGGTCTCTAAACCTAATTCTAAGAACTAAACATTGTTCATGTAATCTGCAGTCGAAATCAAAATTGTTTTATACAATTGTTTTATACAAAGTATAAAATTTGTATATAAAACAATAAATTTTTCAATCTAGAGGTAATTAGAAAAATACTTTTCCTATTTGAAAGATAATCGATAAAACAACTTTCCAGGATCCTCTGGATCAGCAAGAGTCACTATTGGAGACGCATTTCTTTTTTCTCAAATTATAAAATATTGAGAAAATCATAATCAGCTTGCTTGTTCTTTATTAAAATGAGATTTAAGTGAATTCCACTTGACGTTCGCACGCTCACGAAAAATTCTTGTTGTTTATCAAATTTTAAATAAAGACAGATAAATGCTCGCGAGAGTTGTCTTCTTTTTCTTCTTTTTCTTATTGTTTGATTTTCTGACCCAAGAAAAGGGTCACAGTATCATGTGTTGAATTTGGATCTTAGATCCTATGATAACCTTTGGTGAGGGGGGACAGAGGCTTTTACTTTAGCTCAAACGAGGGTTGTCAGCACCAAATGAAACACCCTTTGAAGAAAAATGCAAAATAGAAATTAGTTTCGGCAGAGAGAAATCTAAGAATGGTCGCATCCCGGCCGTTTTTTTCGTATATTAAATCTCGTCGGGTAATATTCACGTTTTTTTTTCTCAATATTTAATACTAACGAGCGTTCATTTTAAATTTTCGAAGGACTTTTCTTAATTTTTTCTTCACACGTTACGTTTAGAGTTTCCCTTCTGTAGCACTTCCTCCGTCTCAGTTATTGTAATTTTTTCCCTTTTGATAATTTTCTTTAATTTTTCGCTAATCATTTAATTTTTCTGTTCCAGCTTCTTCACGGTACATACAAGGGATATTGCTTTTTTTTTAGAATTTTGTTTTGGATTTGATTCGGAATTTGAATAAAAACGGGATACGGTCTGGATAGTGAGATCGTTGCAATTCTTGCCACGTTTATCAGTCTATTGAGCTTGTCTCGTAAGACTAACGTAAGACTCTAGCAAGCCGATAAGCCGAATTAACCACGATTAACGCACGAGGGATGCGGGCAATATCGTTCTAGAAAGTGGATTGCCTCGCATCACATATATTAGTCACATGATTTACGCATTTGACACAGACTATTGTGTGCGCACAGAGCTATTGGTTCGCAGAGTGATTATGAAGGCCTCGTCGACGTTAGACGTGTGTTAAACGTGACATAAAAAGCCGACCGTTTGCAACGATCTCACTGTCGGTCTCAGCATCCGTTACGTCGAGCGTACTAAAGCGCTACTTCGCTTCTCGCTCAATCGACACTTTTTGTTTTGCACATGCCACGAAAGAACTGCAATAAAGACAAAAGTAATTCACAACAAATTTGTAACAAACTTGTATGAAATGCGATATTAGAGATTTAATGCAGAAAAGATCGTAGAATCTTTTAGATCGATTATATAGTAACCAATTTTTAATTTTAATTAATAATTCATTTTTTGTTTTTGAAAGTATTTATAAACATCATTAATTTTTGTCGAAGCTGCTGGAAAACTGGATACATCAAGATTGAATGTCTTGTTGAAATTCTATGTCTGCAATAGAAACTTTTGATTTTCAGTGATGTGATAGAAACGATTCATCAAATTGAAATTATTATTACATTTTCTTCATGTACATTTTTTCAAGATTTTTTTCCTTTCACTTTGTTTTCGTCATAGGAAAAATATTACTTATTTAGAAAATCATAATTTAAAAAAATTATAATTTCTGTATTGCTGTTAAATTTTTTCGCTTCATGCTATTTAAATCTTTTTCTCATATTTTGTTTTCGTATTGCCATTTTTTTGTTTCATCTGTAGTTTTTTCTCTGTTTCTTGTTTATAATCGATTAATTATTTCATTAATGTTTCATCGCAATTGAATTATTTACAGCTTTATAAGCTATGTTACCATACACGCATAGTAGAATAGAATAGAATTTATTCACTTCAGTGTACAAATTTGCCAAAAAAGGGACTTGGTTTACAATTTCTTTTCTTATCACACTTATCCATCCACACATACATACAAATAGAATAGAATAGAATTTATTACACTTCAACATTACACTTCAATATTACACTTCAACATAGCTAAGAAAGGGACTTGGTTTACATAAATTCCTTATCCACATTCATCCTTCCACACTACTAGTACCTGACTCTAAAAAAAAAATAAATTTCTTAATATTCTTATTTTCATTTCTTATTCTTGTTATTTTCTATTTCATTCTCATTTATTCGATGTTACTTTATTCTATCTCAGCTCTGAATATCACAGTGACATATAAATACAATATACATACAAATCCTCTCTCTCTCTCTCTCTCTCTCTCTCTCTCTCTCTCTCTCTCTCTCTTTCACCTTATTTATATACATATATACAACTATGTATACATCATACTACCTATACATCTATCTTTACATTCTATCTCTCTCTTTATTATAATCTATTTCACAGCCTGTAAAAATCTTTTTTTATTTATGTGTACCTTACTACTACCACACTATGTCTCATTTTTTCTCTTAAATGATCCCCACATGTCTTATTCTAATCTGACTCCATCATCTACTTATTCACCTACCGAATGTGTGATGTGAAGATGAATAAGTGACTTATCCTCTTTCTTTCCTTCCTTCCTTTCTATTTCTAAATAATAAATTCTCCCTTTCTTTTCGTAATTTCCTTAACGCCTCTTCCTTCATCTCGTTCAAATTATCATTCTAGATTCTATTCAAAATTTCCTTTTCCTTTTCTCCTAAATCGGTGGTAAATTTAATCTTTGTCTCTACAAAATCCTTTACATAATGTTCTAAATTATCCTTATCCTTTCCAAAAAATATACACTTCCTCCTACTTTCCTCTATCCAATACTTATTTCCCTCCTCCAAATTTCTTACAGTTTAAACAGAGCTCTTACCTCGTCCCCTCTTTTCCTCTCTCTTTTCCTGCCTCAAATAAGACGGCACTTCCTTTTTTGTTCCCCAATTTTTATATCTGTCATTTCTGATTTTATCCTCTTCTCACTGCCCCTGTATATCCCTTTCCCTTTCAATCAATTCTTCTTCAAACCATTTTCTTCCGCTTACTTCTCTTGCCGCCATTCCCTACTCATTTCTATTGTAATAGCTTTCCCTTTTTTGATCATATAAACTATTTCATCCATTTCTTTCCTTCTCTTCCCAGCATTCCTGCCGCCCCTGACTTAATCCTCTGCTCATCTCTTAGTTTTGATTCCCTATCCTATCCTCAACTTTTCCATAGTTAACTTTCTCAAAATTACATATCTTGGCGTACAAAAATCCAAACTAAACATCCATCTTACATAGTCCATCATTACCTTTTCCAGTTCTTCCTTCTTCCATCCCTATACTTCTACCTCGTATGCCATTACACTTCGTACTAAATAAGATCCACCTCTTTCTAAAATCGTTCCTACATATCCTTTCTTCCAATCCCCATACTTTCCTCGCCACCAACTTGCCTTTCCTATTTAGTTCTTTTACGTGTTCTCTAGTTTCCTTTCCTATTTAATATAAAACCTACATATTTGAAGACCTGCTCCTCTTCTATTTCCTTTTCGCTCCATTTCTATTTTTCTACCTTCTCATTATCTTTTTTTATTATATACTAACCTTAGATTTGTCTCGTACTCCATCCTTTTTTTTGTTAAAAATCTATTGAACGTCGTCGTCATATCCTGTAGCACTTTCTTATTCCTTGCAACTAATACTATATCATCCGCATACACAAGATTCCACATCTTGAGCTCTCCTGTCTTAATCCCTCCTATTCTTCTATTTTCTAATTTCTAATCCCGCTACAGATTAAACAGGAGTGAATTCATTATACATATATAATTCATTACACATTCTTGCCTCATTCCTCTTGTAATAAAGTTCTCCATGTATCCTCCCTTGGTTTTTATCGTTATCTCTGTTTCTTCATAGCTCCTCTCAATCTTCTTGATCAGCCCTTCCTTCACTCCTCGTCTTCTCAAAGTATTCCATAAATTGCTTCTGTCTACCTTATCGAAGACCGCCTTTAGATCCGCAAACAATATGTATACTTTCCCCTGCTCCTCCCTCTCTCTTCCCTTTGGAACATGACACAAAGATATTGTCAATTGTTGTCCTTCCTTTTTTAAATCCTGCTTATGTAGCCGGTATCATTTCTTTCATTTCTGCTTCTTTTTCCTGTTCTTCAAAATCTCAGCATAAATTTTATAAGCTGTGCATAGTAGTAAGATATCTTTATAATTCTCGATCAATTTTTTATTGCCTCTCTCATATAGGAATATTATGCTTTTTTTCCAGTCCTTTGGGACTGGATCTTATCTTCCATCTAAATCTTCTTCATTAGAGAAATCACTTCTTTCCACAATCCTTCCCCTACATATTTCCAAGCTTCCATTGATATACCATCAACTCTTGCGACCTTCTTCAGTTTCATATTTCTTAATCTCCTTCCTTATCTCTCCTTCCTTCAATTCTCTACCCTCTAATTTCAATCAATCTTTTCTTCCATCCTCTCATTTTCCACCTCTTCCGAATCATTCAATTTCATAAAGTGATTTCTCCATGTCTCCTTATTAATATAATTTTTCTACATTCAGTCTCTCGTTTCTCTTCTTATTTATAAATCTCCATATATTTGCTTCTCTCCTCAAGTTCCTCAATTCTTCTTCTTCCTCTCTTCTTTTCTCCTCAATGTACCGTTCCCTCCACAGTTTTTTCCACCTTCCATCTCAAAAAGAGGTTCTCTATGAACCTTCGTAGAAGCAAGTGATTCGAGTCCACTCTTACATCAATCTTAAATTCTAAAATCCTATCACTTAAACCTTCATTAACTACAATATAATCTATCATCGAGCAACCTCTCGCTCCCACATATGTATATTCGTACTTCTCAGTTTCCTACAATCTTTCCATATATATACATCCCTTTATCTTTAATCCATTTTACAAAAATTTTCCCATTGTTTCCTATTACTTTATCTTTACACTTCTCCTTATCATGTTCTTCTATCCCTGTTCCTCCTAGCTCCTCTATCCTTATATTAAAGTCCCTCCCCCCAATAATAATTATATCTTCTAACTCGTTTTATGACTTGCTTCAACCCTTTTCTTATATATTTTTTTCTCCTTGTTCACCATATACCGACATGATCCTCATTCCTTTCTCATTGAGTGTTATTTCCGTACTTATTATATCTTCTTTCTTCTCTTTTATTAACTTTTCTCTATTTATTCCCAATCCTTTTCTTTTACCGATTATGAAACCACCTTTAGCTCTCTCTCTCTCTTATTCTTTTTTTTTGCGTAACAATCCCACACACTTTGGTAGCCTTTCCCATTCACTTTCTACTACCCAAGTTTCACATAATTTAATGAAATCAAAATTTCCCACATACCTCCAAAAAATCCATATCCTTATTTTCTAATCCTGCAGTAGTTCAAAATAAAATCTCCGTTATCTTAAGCCCCCCCCCCCCCCTTTTTTCTTTTATCTTTCCTTTCTTATTCGTATTCTTGTTCTCCCCTCAACTCTTACCTTCTTCTCCTTCTCCTATTCTTACTCTTTTTCTCCTCTTGGCTTATTTGAAATTTCTCTCGCCTCCTTTTTCAGCATCTTCCTCTCCTATCCTACTATTTATTTTCACCTCCTTTTCCTTCTCCATCTTTGCCCAAAACATCCATGCTTCCTTAATCTTATAACTCTACCTAATCCTACTTTTATTACTTCTCCTTTATCTTTTTGCTTTTTTTACCCATCTATTTATCTTTTTTTGAATTTCCCTCTTCTTGAAACTCAGATCATTGTCTATAAATATTTTACCTCTCTTCAATTTATGCTTACTAGTTATTACCTCTCTTTTCTTTTCTTCATTCTCTATTTTCACAATAATCACAAGTTCACTTTTCCAACATTTTTCCATTTGATATTCCACCCCTATTTTTTCTTTCAGAAATTCTTTTGCCCAAACTTTGCTTTCTTCTGCATCACCTATCTTATTTTCTTTCTCCGATAAACCCTTATTATATTAAGTCTCCTTTCCTTCTCTATAATCAACTTTTACTATACTCACATCTTTTGCACCCTCTGTGCTCTCCCATGATTTCATTCTTTCTCTACTGTTCTCTTTTCTGCTTATTATATTCCTATTTTCATTAAAAAAAACTCCCACATTCCCTTCACCATCTTCCTCTATCCCCCTATCTAATCCTAACCTCTTCTTCATATTTTCTATTTTTTGATACGTCTCTTCTATTCTTATCAACTTATTCCTATAATTTCTTTCCATTTCCTCTTTATTTTTGAACCAGCTCTCTCTCTCTCTCTCTCTCTCTCTCGCGCCTTTTCCTCTAAATTTTTCATTTTATTCTCTCACCTTTCTTTTATCCTAATATTTTCCATCATTGTCTTTTTTCCTCACATATGTTTTTAAATTCCTCCTGTATTTGGTCATACGTACTCTTCGTCTTCTTCCCCTTCCCACCCCCGATGCTTCACTCTCCCCATTTTTTGCTTCCAACTGGAAGGATATCTTCTTTTCCCTTTGTAATCAGTTTTCTTTGCTTAAGATCCGGTTTTCCTTTTTCCGCCTTCTCAATCGACTCTCCTGCGTTTAACATCCTAATCTCCTTTTCCTACTTCTAACTCTTCAAACTCTTGTTCTCCTTTTTGCACGGGCTCTCCTTCACTTATTCTAATTATACTGCCTTTACTAATAATCACATGCCTATCTTCTAATTGCTTTTATTTATTTTATTGCACTCTCACAATACCGCAGCCATCTAATCAAGTCCACACATAGTAAATAATAGTAAATAATTAGTAAATTAATTTGGACACATCAATGACAATTTTAAATGCGATGTGAATATTTCGCTTTATTTATGTACCTCCACCGCCGTTATATTCTAATAGACAGAAAATTTGAATGTTTTTTTCTTGATTATGATTTTAAAATTTCATTGTATTTTTTTTTTTAAACAATATAATTAATATATATATTTTGATGATAATGTACTTATATATTGTGTAAAAGTAATCTTGAGCAAATAAGAAATGGTGTCCGTATTTATATCCACACTTAGATTTGTAGATACTTATATTTATTTGTGCAGTGATCATTATTATATTACATATAATAATTAATTTATAATTAGTTATTATATTACATTGAAGCACGTTTATTTCTTTGTGATCATGTTATTTATTTTATGTATTTTATTTGATGTACTTTTAAAATGTATGATGTGGGTATGCATTTTTATATTATCATGCATCGAAAAATGTTTTATTATATTGATTTTTTATTACTTAGGATTTTATTAATTTCAATTTTTTCGTGTAACATATATTTGAAGAAAATTAAAGCTATTATTTTTTGTATTGGAATAGGAAGACTTTTTTGAATGACAATATTTTCGAAGAAGAATTAAAGTTATTATTACTATTTTATGAGAAATTTATATATATATATAAAGACTTTCAATGAGAATATAAAAAGGTACATAACATATCACGTAGCAAAATACCACTTGGGTTTCACTTTTTAATTTTACTTTTAATGAATATAACATTTTTTTTTCATCATTTATGTTTAATTATATTTCAATCTATAATAACTGTAAAGAATTAATCCTACAAAGTAGATTTAAAAAATCCTCGTCGTCTTATAATAATAATACGACGATGGTCATCTGTATTCAATGAAAATATTTTTTAAGAAAAATTAAAATTACTTTTATTTTTTTTCGGGAGGTTATATATAAGAACAGCATGAATTAAGAAACTCACCTTTGGTATTTCGTAGAAACAATTATATCACTTATATTACTAATATTTTTATAAATTATTAAATATAACAAATCTTGGATATATTATATTTAGCTAACTAGATCGTATTAAATAAAATACAGGACTCTTGATATTCAATCGAGTTATCAGATTAACAAGGTAAACCGAATTAAAGTAAAAAATCGAATTAAAGTATTATATTTAGAATAATTAGAGAGTTACATGTATTAAGAAAATTACAAGCTACATAATTTATATATATTTATATAACATGTTTCGAATACAAGATTAAGGCATTTTTAGACATATAAAAGTTAAAAATGGAAAAAGATGCAAAACATAGTAAAATAAAAAAAGAACGTTGTCAAATGATCTTAAGAGGCCAAATGAATATTTTCCAGAGCAACAAAAATTGCTCACAAATTGAAAGACGATTGAAAGACCGTGTGGAGAGAGCATCTGAATATTCTAATATAAATATAACACGTATTCATTAGAAACACAAAAAACAAAGTTATTAAAAGCAAAATTATAAAAGCAAAATCATTACTTTGACAAAAACTCACCCGTGAGACTCTCAACAAGATTTGTATTCATCATTCATCGATGTTATTTGGAATATAGACAGTGGAGGATGGACAAGCGTCCCGTGCCGCGCATGCCGCGACTTGTGCGATGCACTTGTTAGACAATCCTCGCTTCTTACGGGCCCGCGCCCGTGCGTCGAGCGAACGTAGAGTGTATTTGGCGATATTAAGTCGGACATGCTTATTCGGCTATCTTTAAAAATTAATATCTCATTAACTATTATGAAAATTGCAAAATGATAGAAAACTTTTCGATTCAATTTAGTCCGCTCTACAGTATTTGTATAATTTCTTTATTGATATTAATGTCAAAATTTTTTATTTATTTCAATATTATTCATTTTGATGATTGTTTTTACACGCTTATACACTTTGTGACTACAAGAATGATTAATTTTGAATTTTATCTTATATATAAGGAATAAAAAAAAAACAACATAATTTATGAAAATCGAATGTTTTATAAATGTCGTTTATTTATGAAATATTAGTTACATTTCTAGATATAAGTTTTTAAAAATTTTTAAAGATGTATATCAAATAAATCTATTAAACTGTTAGGCATAATGTTATTATTTTGATAGTTACATAAAATAGAAAATCATTTAATATTTTTAATTATGAGGCGGACCGCACATAATTAATTGGCTTCATGCGATTCGTGAGCCGTGGTTTGCATTATGTATTGAATTATAAAGTAAACTATTCTTTGTGACATATAGTAAACTATTCTTCATGTAAAAAGTATTATTAAATTTTTTTTCTTTGCAGATGATCAAATGTGTGGAGCTTGCCATAGGAAAATAATTGTAAGAGGTATTTATAAGTAATTAGTTTTTTAGTTACTTATAATTCTAATTACATGATTATAATTCACTTTCTTTTTCTCTAGAGCCGCGGAATATAGTTGTATTTTATTGTAAGCATTGTTTTCACGAAGATTGTCTACCTAATTTTGATTTAATTGTATGTATGATATTTCATCTATGATGATTTTATTTTATTATTAAGTGTGGGAAAAAGTTCGTGGCATTTTTTTAATGCCATCTAACGGGAAAAACACCACGAACTTTTTCCCATATCTAATATTTATGAATTACTATAGTACTCTTAAATTTCAGGAAAATTGCGTGATATGCAATTCGCAAAAAGAAATGACACCTGGCAGAAAATGATAAAGGTAAACTACTTCATAATGTAATATGTACAAAATCGGAAGTTTTACATGGACTAATATTATGTATGTTTCAATCAAATATTTTGGTGTAGCCTAGACTATGTTGCATTTGTATTTTTTTTAATAATAAATAAAGGTAATTATTTACTTTAGGAGACACCGCGCGATGATCTTGATCTTGGCATATATTGACAAGGTCATGATCCTGAGTGACCAACAGATTTTAGATGGTAGTCGCTGTTCGTTGAAAAATTAATAGTCAAAGTTAGTTATTTCTTTGCTTTATATGAAAAGTCAAATAACTTTTGGCAGAAACAGAGATATGGGGTGGACCAATTAAAGGAATATGACTTTTCACGCAAAGCGAGACCACCCCCCCTTATGTCAATATCAGATTACATTGTTAATATACGACGGTATCTCACATCTTCAATTTTTGAACAAATGCTTTGTAGTGTTGTATCGTGAAATCTATGATATTGACAGGTTTTACTGAAAAATTGATAATGAAAAATTAACTACCACTTGTCGAAGAATGAGTGCAAAGTTTATCTAGAGAATGAATTTATTACCGACAAGAAGAATCTGGATATAATCCGCGATTAGCTGTTTTATTTCAGGATGATCTGCAAGATAATCCGTGTACCGAGCTATATCATAAGACTGTTAAAAGAAAAATTTATATAAAAATTTTTTTGTGAAAAGGGTGTGTGTGTGTGAGTGTGTGATTTAAATCTTACGTTTTAAGTATATCTGTGGTAGAATTTGTAAGCGGTAAGAGGATCCACTTTTCATAATAATAATCATAAGGTGTATCATAAGGTTAGCCAATCAGAGCTGAAAGTTTTTAAAAATTCTTGACTGCAATTGGCTAATTCTTACGGTACGTCTTACGATCACTGTTATAAAAAGTGTATGCGGACACTTTAAAGAAAAATTGTATTGGATTTATTACTGGTTATGATAAAAGTTTCGATCAGAGAATCCTGCTCCGATGACCACGACATATAATGTTTAAGATCTCCGACAGGAGTTTTTAGTTGTCACTTGTTATTCGTTAAAAAATTATTATACAAAGAAAAATTTAAAAAACGTCTTATTTCTGCTACAATATGTTAAGAACAATCCCAAATCCTCCCTTCCTTGCAATAATTTTCTACGCAAAGCGAGATCCCCTTTGGGGATAGATTATGGATTTTGAAAGGAGATGAAAATTACAAAAGTGAGCAAAAATTATTAGGTATTGACCAATTAAATTATGAACACTTTATAATGAATTTGCTCACTTTTGTAATTTTCACCTCATTTGAAGATATACAATCGACCCTCTGGGTGTTCGACTTTTCACACGACGCTGCACATCCTCTCTTGTTAAAAGCGTTATTAATAATTGATGTAATTAACGATTGATTAATTATTAATGGTTTACGTTTAATTATTAGGTTACTGCTTAAGTATTTAATTTTTGTGTGCCATAGCCCTTAAGCAGTAAGCGAATTGATGAATCACAGAAACTGTAAAATCATCAGCAATAGCAAATCTAATATGTTAATTTCTTTATTGCTTAAGTCTTAGGACTATGGCACACAAACAAACAATGAAATGTAAGCAAGAAAGAAATCAATGTGTGATTAGCTACAGCTTACATTATGATCTTACGGTCTTTACCCAATTCATTGGTATGATTGGCCAATTCATTTACTATTTACGTTTTATTGCTTAATTTTATTCTATAATTCTAAAGCGTCGTCTATTAGGTGTACAACTTTGCTTTCGCCGTTTTTTTTTCCGAAATTCGAGACTTTATTGTAAAAAACTGGTTATACATTTATGATTCAAAGTATTGTCCATCGCTGGCCACTACTTTCTCCCATCTTTCGGGTAGCGTACGAATCCCGCGTCGAAAAAACTGATCATCTTTTGAGGCTATCCACGAATCGATCCAATTTTTTATTTCTTCATAAGACCGGAAGTGCTGGTCAGCCAGGCCGTGTGCAATTGATCGAAACAAGTGATAGTCAGAGGGAGCAACGTCTGGAGAATACGGCGGGTGGGGTAGGACTTCCCATTTCCAAGTATGTCTTGACCACTTTCGCAACATGGGGTCGAGCAATGTCATGCTGCAAAATCACTTTATCGTGTCTCTCGTTGTATTGCAACCGTTTGTCTTTCAATGCTCGGCTCAAACGCATCAATTGCGTTCGATACCGATCGCCTGTGATTGTTTCAGTCGGTTTTAACAGTTCATAATACACTACGCCGAGCTGGTACTCACCAAATGTCCCACCAAATACATGACCTTGGACATCAAAATCACCGTTTTTGAAACCACTCACGACACGTTCTTTTACTAATAGCGGCCTCACCATAAGTATTTGAGAGCATTCACCATAAGTATTTGAGTCTCAGCCGCAGATTTCTTCATATTGAAACAAAAAATTAAAACCTCCCGCAAATGACGAGAATTTGGCTCGTAATCTGACATTTTCAATCGAGAATAACTTTATGATGAAACACAAATCGACTAATGTTTCTATGGGGTTATGTTGACAGATGCCCAAGTTTATTGTATGATGTTTATGATCTATTTATTTCGACTACCACTTACCGCTAAAGCTATAGGAAAACGGCGGAAGCAAAGTTGTACACCTAATATAATGGGCAGTAGCAATAGATAAGGCTGTAAGATACATCAGGAATAAGTTGATTTTCCGATATAATAGGATATAGAGTAAGTTCATAAATAACAACAGAGTAGAACATAAAAAATGGATTTAAATTATTCGCTTACGAACTTATTTTATGCTCTATTAGAAAATATATAACAAATCAGTTTTGACATTTACTGAAATGACAACATTTGATTGACAAGATAAATTGTGTAATAAAGAACAAATGCCATTATAAAAGAATGTGAAGTATCTACATTTAAATAAAATGTATGATTAATATTTGTTTGTAGTAGTTTATAAAAATATAAAAATAAAATAAATACGCTACTCAATAAAAAATAATTAAATAGTTGAGTAATTTGTAGTAGTTTGTAGTTGAATTGTAGAATTCTGCATATTGACTTTAAATTTATGAAAAAAAATGTACATATATGATTTGTTTCTAAACAGGTTTAGAAAACATTGAAGAAATTTCTAATAGAATAGAAAACATTGAAGAAGAATCCAAAGTTAACCCAGAGCGAATTCAATTTATGAAAAGAGGATGCATTAAGTAACAGAAAAAGGTAAAATTAAAATAATTTTACGGATACATAATAATTTTTATATAAATATATAATTCTTCTTAAAAAGTATAAGGTTATATTATTCTCAAAAATGGATTTAATATATTTCATGTAAGTTTTATAAAACATTAAGTTTATAAATATTCTTCTTCAAAAGTTTTTTACATATAAATTTTTTACATATAAATTTGTTATATATAAAATATTAAATAATAAATGAATATATTTTTTGCAATATAAAAACCATTGCACTAGCATTGTAAATGCTTTAATCTATCTAGATAAAGAATGTAAAATGCCTCAATTTAAAGAAAGCGAATTAACAGCGCAATTCTTGTAATGAATGATATATTCGATCTTTTAAATTCACGAAATAAATTTTGCAAAATTGAATTCCAAAAATGTAAACCAAAGACAATATTCCAATTATTGTGAACAAAATTGATGATTATATTAAATACACTGTTTCTTTAAAAAATGATGAGAACATTCCAATATTACTTACAGAACGGAAAATTGGATCCTTAGGCTTCATAATTTGCTTAAAAAGTGTTATCGGTATTGGTTACCAATATATACAATCATCTGAAAATAAATGAGATTATTTATTAACATATAAAATGTCGCAAGACCACACATCTTGAATTGTCTTTTGTCTGCGATTTCTCTGCGATTCGGCAGACTTGGCCACAATCCATGATAATAATAATCCGATATGATGACAATTTCAAACTGCTTTTTTCAAACTTTTAAATAATTACTTGTATATTGTAAGATAAGTGACAGAATATGCCAATAGTGTACCTCAAGAAGAAGATTATTTTATTTTTATATGTATTATCAATGGCTGCGTTCAGCAGAACGTTTATTTTGCAATTGTTGGAAGTTTTCTTCACGCTGATTGAGTTATGCTTTTAGATCAAAAGGAATAGTCCTATCTTAGCAGAGAATCACAAAATGGTTGCTATTGTATTCTGCTAAATACATCCAAAAAAAAGTATGAATTAATCAACGGTAAAAAAAAAGATAATTAATAGATTCCACATACAAACGATCATGAATATGCTAATGTTTTTGTGGAACATAGTTATACTAACTCTGAGACTTAGGCTCGGTTGCACCAACTAAATAATATTACTTTAATTTTAAGCGAGGCTTAAAACTCTCTTTGTTCCTGTCTCTTTCCGGTTTTAAAACGAGAGAGTTTTAAGTTTCGTTTTAAAGCGAAAGAGAAACAGAGACAGAGATAGTTTTAAGCTTGCTCAAAGTAATATTATTGATGCAACTGGGCCTTATACATAAATTGTAATTCTATTTATATAGCAGGATTTATTGTGAAATCTATTAAATCAACAAAATTTCATGCGATATTTGTTCATTTGTGACCCTTCTCGAAAAATATCGCATATGAAAAACTGTAGTAGGCATTACATATACTATTGTAAGACTTTGGCTTGCAGATGAATCATAAGTTGAAATAAATAAAAGTTTCTAGAATGAGTTGTCAATCATTCTGACATTGAAGACGAATTCAATTTGAATTTTGTCTTTCAGATGAATTTAATGTGAGCACTTGATTTGAAGGATAAAAGTCAGGTTTATTTTAATTAAATAATCTTGTAATTATAAATGTTCAGAGGTACAATCACACGCCCTTATGATTTGACAGTTAACTTTCAACTACTATTCGTTTGTTTGTTAAAAATGAATAAATAGCGCGTTGCTAGGGACACGCTACATTAGAATGGAGCATTATAGCCACGGTGTGAACTTAATAATTTTTACATTATAACATTTCTTTAGTTTTTCATATGCGATATTTTTCAAGAATAAAAGGACCCCTGAAATCTTAATTTATGAGTTTACGATATCTTCACTTCAAAAAATTAAATCTAAAGATAAATTGATAAATACGTCACAAAAGATAATTATAAATTTTGCAAAATTGCAGAAACTTCTTTTTGTTGTTATAATATTAAGAAATTATTAAAAACCACTTATTTTAATGTTATGTCAAGATGCATTGAAAAGAATTTCAAATAATATATTTATTAACAATGATCACATGTTTTATCAAGGAATTTTAAGAAATCATTATCAAATCATAAAATGTATATTTACGAAATATTTTTCATTACGTATGCATCACGAATGCGATAATTCATAGAATTAAATATTCATATCAATAAAAAATATTCATAGAATAAGAAATAAGCGCACAAAAATAATTTTGTTTCAAAACTAATAACATGTATTTGAAAATGCTAATATAATATATAATTGAAGTACTAATTGTAATTAGTAAATATTAACATTTACTAAATAAACATTTTTATATTTAACCTTTTTATTTCTTATTTTAAGTAAGTTTTTAATTTTATAAATT